GGTGGGGGTTGGGGGGCAGTCCTTCATGTCTAGGCTCTGCCAAAGGATGGAGTTGAAAATTTTTCATAATGTTTATGTTTGATTCTGCAATTAGGATGGTTTTCTAAAAATTTCTTCAAAGCATTGGTTACTTTCCCTTCTAGCAAGCTTCCTTGACAAGATTTATATATGATTCCTCTACTCCTATTTTTCTTTTCTTTACAAGAAAAAAGGAAAATCTAGGGCATCATCACTTTACACATTTATATATGCAATATGAGGGACTAATATTATCTAGAGCAATGCATGTTATTGAATGTTTGACAAGTTTGAATCTGTCAATAACATTATCTAGAGCAATGCATGTTGACCACTGTTTGGGAACTATATCTAAGGGTAAAATAAGTAGCTCATCTTCAGAGGTTTTGGATTCCCCTTCTGTTTTATGGGCATCAGAAGCTCAACTTTAATGTTTTCCCCTGGTACTCCTGGTCCTGGCATTAGAGACACTTATAAGTTGAGGAATGAAGAACTTGAAAGCCTTAGGCCATTGAGTAATCTTTACTCAATCAAGCCTTATCCCAACTATATGGGGTCAGCTACATGAAGGTTGTTCCACCATATCGTTGAAAAACTTATCCCTTTAACAAATCATCATTTAAGGGGAGTGCCCTAGCCGTAGATGCATAAGCTTATAAATCCCCTATAGTGTCAATGAGCCCCAAAGGTGTAAAGAGGTAGGTCTGCTTCCCAAGAAAGGAGAGCATGTCTGATTCATTTCAAGCCCAGCCTACCATACCATGGTCCATGGCTCATTCTTCAGTTCAACTTTGAGACCTACTCCAGCAGCCCACAGCCAGAGGTTATAGAGAAGGAGCATGTTAGATAAGCACGTCTAGGGTTTCTTAAAGAGGACAGGAACCTTCTCTTGCAAAGAAATTTTTGCCACAATAAAGATAAAAATTGCAAAATATCTCCCCAACACATTCTCCAGAGCATAAAAACAAGGAACCTGATAATGGGCCTGCTTAGGGGTCCCAGTCCATCATGGCTACATTAGTTGGACGTCTAGTAATAATACCTTGCCTCTGCACCTCCCTCTCAGAGGAACCGGCCTATTATTTTCTTCCAAATGCTATATTTTTAAGGTCAATACATCATATGGGGTTGGCTCTTGGAAAACATTGTAAAGGGGTATTGAAGATCCTTGCAGATCTGGACTTTTCAACTTGCAAGAAGGTTATTAAGTGTTGATCCAATGAATGTGAAAGACACCAGTCCCTGTTGACAAGTTCGCTACTAGGATATAACCAGAATTGAATCTTAACTCTTACTAGCACATGAAACTGAATCAGCTCTCCTATTTATTCCAAAAAATATCAAAACGTTAGAAGAGCCACTAGTTGGGGTTTCATTTCTCTCCAAACATTCCAAACTATTTCTAGGCTGTGTTTTAACTCCTCCTGGTTGAGACAAGTGTCTCTATGGGCAGGATTCTCTCCTAAGAGCTTGCCAATTACCCATTGACTCTATCCAAGTCAAACTAATAATATAAATGACTTGGCAAGAGTCCAATTCACATAAGACATTTCCACATGTGATTTGCTGAAAACACAATTAAGGAAAACAAACAAACATTTTTAAGAAAATAATAATTGATGAGGGGTAATTTGATCCGACCTGTTAGCATGCGGACATGTGCAGTGGCCTGATGATTAGATGACATCTCAGCATTTCCGAACACCTCAGCAAGCCAGGTCAGCTCGGGCACCTCAGGTACCTTGGCTAAGACTGAGGTC